ATTCATTTTTTCACCTTATTTTGACTTAATATCGAAAAAGCACCCTTATTTTCAATCGAAAATTCTCACGTCAAAATATCTGCTTTTTTAAAAAAGTTGGGGTGTTTTTTGTTTGTTGAAATCTCTACTTTCTGATGGTATAAAAAAAATATACACTACTATGATAAATGTTCTCAGAAAATGCAAATAAATAATGAAAAAAACTCGAATCCGAAAATCCTATTTTTAAAATACCTACTTACAACAACTATTTTTGCATGTTTTATGGATTTGTAATTTTTCTGTTTATCAATATAACATGAAATCTTACGTTTTTCGAGTAATTAAAGTGTAAATTTTAATAAATAGTTCAAAATTATACATAATGATTCAAATCAATTTTTCGGATTGGAGTTTTTTTCATTATTAATTTGCAGTTTCTGTGAACATTTACCATAGTAGTGTATATTTTTTTATACCATCAGAAAGTAGAGATTTCAACAAACAAAAAACACCCCAACTTTTTTAAAAAAGCAGATATTTTGACGTGAGAATTTTCGATTGAAAATAAGGGTGCTTTTTCGATATTAAGTCAAAATAAGGTGAAAAAATGAATATTTTAAATCAAAAAAATTACTGTATGTTTGGGACATACATAGGTAAGTTTTCACCAAATTTCGTGAAAACATATTTTTTTTTGCAAAAAATAAAAATCCAAAACCATTAACTCGATTATTCGCATTTTTCACATAAATTTTGAGGTTATGTGAAAAAAGTGTCGATACAAAAGTTGTAGATCTTTTTATTACCTACAACTTTGCCATTTAACTTTTTTTCATAGGACTTGCAATTTTAACGGAAATCGAGATTAACCATTTTTTACCCTTAAAAACTCACCCCCTCCCCCTTCCCGACCTCAGATCGCCCGTAATTTATTTTTCCTTTCATTTTTGTTATATTCTCTACCTTTTCTAATGGGTTTCATCCTACTATAATTTTTTTTGGTCTCAAAAATTATAAACCCTGGTCTATTACTTTGAAGTGTCAAAATAAAAAAAAAACTAAGTACAATTAAGTTTGCTGAAAAATTAAAGAAGTTATTTTTTTAGTCTTTATGGTCCTTTACGATTGAATCAATAGTCAGTTCGTTTTTATATTTTTGCGGAAATTATGCAACTTTCGTTCGTAAGGGTCAATTCGAGATTCGTGCTTCTTAAACTTACTGTAATATCCTTGGTTGGTTCCTCCTTACTGTGAATTTTTTTAATTAGATGTTATTAAAAACCCACCAATCCTCTTTCGATTTGCATATTTTTATTATTGCTTCTTTTTTATAAATATACTAGCGACCGCCCACGACTTCGTCCGCGTTAAGTTTAGTTTTTTGAAAATCCCACAGGAACCTAAAAAATTTCCAGGGTAAAAAGTGTCCTTTGTCTCAATCCTGATCTTATACTGTATGCGTAGCAAATTTTCTCCAAATCCGTTCAGTAGTTTTTGCGTGATTGAGTAACAAACATACAAACTTTCACCTTTAAAATATTAGTAGGATTGCAAAATTTTTTGTAACGATATTGAGCTCTAGTGTTAAGTGCGACTTTATATCCATTTTTATAGTTTACCGTTTGAAAATTGCTACTGCAAAACAGGCTGTTACTTTCTTGTAGCGGTTATACCATTTTGTTTCTTCAAAATATTCTTATTAAATGTTTGCTGTAGGTATGTTTTGAGTCTATCGCGTATTAGCTAGTTATCATTATATCATTTTGTTGGCGTTATGTCTCTTTAATTTAATAAACATTATGATGATTAACGACCATTGTATCAATTAGGATGGTGTCACCCTGCAGCTTAGCATTGTTACAGCTGACAATGATTATTAGTAGCCTCATTACCTCGATTAAAGTAAGTCGTTAAATAATAAAATCAATCATATGTGAATTATATAAGCAGGTGAACTTCCGATTTACTTTTAAGGTACGTGACTATTGTTATGTAATTAAATTTTCGTCTCTATTATTAATCTTATCTTTCATGTGAAACTTTTGAAATGAAAATACAATAGGGGGGTGACAATAGGCTGTAAAAAAATCTATTTAGTCTGTAAGTTATATAAATCGAGTGGTCTAGAGGCTCCAGACGGAGAGGAGACTCCCCCCGTGGGGAGATGCAATCCGCCTGGAATAACTCTAGAGGCACTCGCTAATTCTCATCTTGAGGTCCCCTCAGGATCTCGCCGTCCCGAAACCCGGTGACGCTGTAAAGGTCATCTGAGACAAACAGTCTCAAAAAAGAAGTTATAAAAAAAATGGGTACGTATTTTTTCTTTGGTCAATCAACCAAAAAATGAAACAGTTAGAAACAATGACAAATGACAAAGTATTGCGCGTCTAATTTTAAGAGTGCGGGCTCGTGTCGTCACTTTCAAGTAAAAATTATAACTAAACGTGACGTCATGCGACATTTCAAATCAATATATGTCTTTATATGTTTTGATTACGTAAAAAAATATGTGTTCAATACTATATGATAATCTAGCTGATAGACAAAGGAAATAAAGTTAGTCGTCATCCCTATTCTTTTACTACCTTTACTAAGTGATGTTTGCATTTCAACGGCTTTTCCCGTGCTTAGACACGGGACTTGCCCCAATTTATCCGCGAAACTATTTCCTCTCCATCGCTGTTTGCCGCAGATTTTTTTTGGCACGCTTTTCGATAATCGCGCCACTGTCTCAGGTTGAAGTAACTTTTGGTCTGCCAACTGCAACTCTACCTGGAAACATTGGTTATAACTTAATATTAATATTAACATTTCAAATCTTTATTGTTTTATCTTAACCGATAAAGGACATGGCTAAGAAACTGCCCTTAACGTGTATAAATATTTCGCACCAGCCCGTATCTTTACAATATTTTTTTATTAATTATAACGTGTTTATTATTCTCATACATCTTTCGTGAAATAATCAAATATTTATCTTTACATATATAATTCTTCTGTGAGTGTGTATGTCACTGAACTTCTCTTAAACGACTGGACCTGAGAATGGTTTAGATTCACAATTTTGTCCGCTGGACAACCCCTATTTTTTTTAGGGCGGTACGAAGTTCGCTGGGTCAGCTAGTAAAGTATAAAAATTGACTTCATGTCTGTTTCAAAAGCAAAATGTTCCGTTTTACAAAGTAAATGAAGAATTTTACAAAGTAAATGTACACAATAAATATTTGTGTAAGTACCTATATCCAAATAAACAATATTATTTCTAAACTCCTTCAAACTATGACATATTTGACCCTAATTTTTATTATAATAAATCACTGAAGGCCTAAAATAATAGATTTTATTATTCTGATCAGGCTTGAGACAAGGCTGTATGATAAATAATCCTTTAATTTTTGCAAATGGACAAAATAAAACTTCACAGATTTCCTGTCAGGCCGACGATAACAAATTATTTGTATTTTTGCTTTAAAAAAACTTTTTGTAAAAAGTTAATCAGAGAAATGGGAAGAAAGATTCTAAGAATTTTCGAAATTGATGTCTCTGTAAATATTTGGCAATATCTCTTATCAACTGTAGTAATGTTATGGCATAGTAGGAGTTTTCATAATTTTCAAAATTGTGACTTTATCAAAAGTTCCTGAGCCTTTTTTCATAGAAATTATAAATATTCTGTCATTTACCATATATTACTAAGTACAGTATTTATACATTGCAAGGGCAGTCGCTCATACAAAACTTCACCATGCCCTTAGCAATAGATATTTTTTTATTTATTTTATGAATTTTATGTATATGAGCTTAGCCAGTTTCAAACAATAAAATGGGTTTGAAACTTCAATATTTACAGTAAGTTCATTCGAATTTACCATATTATTATTCATATCGTGATTGACCAGTTGACGTGGAGAAAATTTTGTTAGAAAGATGTCTAATAAGTCGTGCATGACAACTAATGCATTTTAATTTTAAGTATGTTAAGATATAATGATCAGTCATTTTATGTTGAGGTTTTATTCTCATGTATTATATGTGTTGTAACCTGCGGTTTACAACCGAATTTTATAAAATAATACTTAAAATTGAAACGCGCAACTTGAAGACTGTCGGAGTAACCCGAGCTTTTACTTGTATTCACTATCAGTTTATCTCTAACCCAATGTAGGTTGATCGTGTTGAGTGACTCAACGGGTAAGAAGGGCCTACGATTTTATCTTGAAACTCCTTTTGTACACGTGATCTCGGACAACCGAGACCAAGCTTTTACTTTGTTTAGATATATGCTAATTATAGTCCAACTGTTTATCCATTTGTTCCGGCGTTTGCTGCGATAAATCACCTCGTAAAAACAGTTAGGTGCTTTCCATATATCTCCCTTTTCATTAATAGAGACAGTGTTCTTTTCACTCGTTAATTTGTACGCATATACAAAACAAGCTTGATTTATTCACCGATTTTAAATATTATACTTATTAAAATTAAGAGATTTGAAATGAAAATGGCTCTACTTTCGTATCATAATGGGCAGCTATCATGTTCCTGAATGATTGTTGCATCAGCGGTTTTGCGCTACTGTTGAAACTGAGTCCTATCATCATTTAAATGTTAATATGTTCTCTGTCCGCCGCTTGGTCGTAGTAAAAAGTGGAAATATGCCGTCGAATTATCACATACTAGCACGCGTGCCCTCGTTTAGTTATATGTCCATAAATTTGTGTCAGTTTATAAATACAAGTTAATTTTTCATATCAAATAATTTCTTTGTAACTAAGGTAATGCTTAAGATTCGTAGTAAAATTTTGTGATGTAAATACTTATGTTTATAATAAAAATAATACACGAGTAAACGTAAAATAGCAGTTTAAAAAATGCTTAACAGTTATATAAATATACATATTTCGGTGATAGTAAGTCAAATCGAGGACGAGGAGGGCCTTGTGCGATATGATAGTGCTTATCGCCAGCACCAGGTTTTTTTCTACGAAAGCGTCGTTACAACGCACTAGGGTCTGGTTGGTGGGCGCATGCCGCACGCCGCGCGGGTAACGCGCGTTTGTAAACAGTCCACGGCTGTCAACCCAGCAGACCGCGCGCGTTCACCGCTCATGTTCCCACTGTGTGTTCAGAGAACACTCACAATGCACAGGAACTCCGCGCTCTGGTCATCGAAACCCTGAACATTGTGCTTGTTTCGTGATACATTATGCTGTGTCTAGTGTTATTCGTGTTTAGTTCAGTGCCCACTCTGTGAGGTGTGAGTTCAATCGTTGGAACCAACTGTCATTCCAACTATGTATTTACAGGAAAATCACTGAAAACTATTTTCATGTTATTCGCATAACGCTCCATAATTTTGTAAAATACGTTTTAATGTTGTTATTATTGAAGTGACTTTACGAGTTCGTAAACAAGTTCGACATGAGTTGCGTAAAACGTTACGAAAGCTTGAACTTTTCAGGGCGGAACTGAGATGATTATTATTTTAAATGTCAGATTTTGTAGGGTCAGGTGCGTTCACAGTGGCCCCTGTGAGCATTGTTCCGTTATTAATGAAATATACCGACATTTTGATTGGCTATGTAGGCACAAAGTATCACACGTCGTTGGTTCGACGCTGTTTAAGGGAACCTAAATATAGATACCCAAGAGTGTGTCATTTACGTGGATCAGTCACCCTTTGTGATCTTCTCAGTGGGATATTCAATTACTTGATTTAATTCTTTTATGTAGAAAAGCTTGCTACATGTAGAATTGATATACGACTTTACATCTAGTAAGCTTTTTTAAGTTTTTCTGTTTATTTTAAAGAAAATCAGTCGGAGTATTGAATTACGAAATGAAAAAAAAAGAGTTATGGTCGTGTTTAAAATTGTGGATGTTTGCTAGCGTGACTGAGTCTGGTATTTCGCGGTTCGGTAGTTATCAATGAAAAGGCGTTTAGATACACACGAATGAGCTTAGTGCTTATTGAACCCTCTACAGTAGTTGTCATACCCAATGATATCTCCCAACTCTCGGTTTCGTCGTGTCGTTACTTATCGCGACTGACTAATTCGTGTTTATAAAGCTGTCACTGAAAAGAGGGTAATAATTGAAATTAAAAATAAAGTAGCGAGATCGAATGTGATTGCAAATTTGTCAGTCAGCTGTGCCAGATATTGGATTTCAGGCTTTTTAAACATAACAAGGAAGCATCTGCTAAGCCGGGTGGCGCGCAAATCTCGCACACATGCCGCAGCATCTTGCAGGCCGGCCCGCATCCCGCTACCTGCGCGTCATGTCGCATTGTTGTTAAGTTCCCGCGGGACAATGGAGACCTGCTTACCCGGTTTTCTGTTCTACTAGAAACAATAACATTTTGTTTTTCAAGTACATCGCCATAGTCGCACTTGACTTGGCGAGGAATATATTGAGTCGACTATGCTTTTAATGAACCTGATTAGATTAGCCTTGTCCTCTTGCCTTTGTTTAATATTAATAAGTTGTAATTGTTACTACGATTATTGTAGTCTGTTTAATTCTCCTAAGTTCTGCTTTCAATTAAGTAATTCATTCCTGACGTAATTTGCTATCATGCAGTTGCAGCATTGTCGGAATATAAAACTGTTTACATTACGACCCAGGTAAACGGTCCATAATAGGTTCATGGGCTTCTCTATTTGTCAGCCCGGCCACGTTTCCCCACGCTGAATCACACCTTGAATTTGTAAAATTTGTTGGATGCTCCTTTCTACTTAGGAATTTTAATTTTGCGATAACCGCGTTTGACAGAAAAGGACATTGTGGTATTTTTTTGCAATATTTGCGTACATATTATTACAGGAATGTAAGATTACTTTTATAAATACTACATAATTTTGTTGGACTTCATTTTTCCAAATTGTAAAATTATAAAAATATGCTTTGTCGTTTTAAAATATTTGTCTACTTGTTTAGATTCATAAGTATTATTTATATTAATTCAGCAACAGATATATTATTTTTATATAAATACGTCAAAGCACGTGGCACAACTCCAGAGCTTAACGTTAACTTTATTGGATAAGGGACCAACGAGCACGTCAAGAGTTTTTGTCAACTGATAGCTCCGAAGCACTGTGTTGTCAGAAATCAGGGTAGATTTCTAAATTGTGAGATAATTTTTTCTTGTACCACGTTCATAGTATGTTACGGGAGACGCGGGAAAGCGGTAGGCAGTAAAAAGCGGTGACAGTTAAGTAAGTGGTTATCGTCACGTATTCCCCTATACTGATAAAGCGCCCGTGAGAACACACATCGCCGGGATAATCCTGGATTTTTAGGGAGCATTAAGGTGATATACGCGCGTAAGTCAAGTCGATCACGGTAAAAGCTTTCGTGGGTTCGAGAGCGGCTCGTTTTCGATCTCGAGTGTCGTTTGTCTTTACTTTCGAGTGCAGCCATTTCAGGGTGGCTGATTTATTTGATTAGGTTTTCGGCAGTGAAGTCGAACATGCACACAACTTAGTTGTTTATCGATTTTAAGATCTAGTAATAAATATCAGTGTCTTGATAAAGAGAGAGCTATTTATAGTTTTTTTTTGGTCCGATCTTTATTTCTGTCGTAATTTATGTACACCATTACATATATCCCTATTATTTCCCTAGAGTTTAAAAAAACGACATATATACGTATATTTTGGTATAGTTCTGTATAAATTAACAAACGGAAAAGAAAATTGCGTTGTTTGTAAACTAATTACATTCTGGTATTACGAGTTTCACAATTCTGTCATATTTATAAGTAGCCTGTCCAGGTGACAAATTTGGCGAGGGCTTGCCTGTCGTCGCTTAAGTGTTTGGCGCCCCAGCCATTCCCCTAAGGTTCCGGTATCCATCATACTGTATTGATTGATGACTAACTTCTTATATCAGCTCAATCTATCCATGCAATGAAAAATTTTTTGTTTTCCGATATTGCGCCCGAACAAGATTAACGGACTGTGAAAGTAATCTGCACCTTGCGGTTTTCTACCCAGTAAAATAATATAATTCTAGGCTGTTTGTCAAAAGCACTTGTGGATGTGAAAAAGTTACGCCGTCTGTTCGCAAACCTACGGCAGGAGACCTTCTACTGCGAAAAACATGAAATAAACTAATAGTTACTATTTTTTGGAGAGTTTTACTTCTGCTGGTGGGTTAGATTTCAAGGCTCAACGGCATAGTGGATTCAGACTGGCAAGATATCTTCAGCTGTTAGTAGGGGTATATGTCTGTTACATCATATTTTCATATCTTTTGGTAGAAAACATAATGGATTTTTTTCTAGTAAACTTTTCTTTAGATTTAAACATCTAGCAGTTAAATGCTTAAAAAATAAATAAAAACATAAGAAAACATAATGTCTGTTTTTGTCATCTTTTTCGTCACTCTTCCACTGTTTAGTTTCCTGTAACGTAATTAAGTGTATATGAGCCATATAACGATGAATATAGATTAATAGACTGTTGTAGTTAGTCCTTTTAACGGGTGATGGTTGGAAGAGGCGGTCATTCCCCCGCGGTTCCGGTTTCCCTGGCCGGATATTGGCCTGCAGTCACGGTTTGATAGTAGTAATAACTAGTACAGAAACATAGTGGGGGTTAGTTATGTCATAGTTGTTATTGTGTAAATCCTCGCGCTTTATATCAATATTTCATTATTAACAGGTGTAATGAATAAAGTTACAACTTTGATTAGCTATTTAACTATCTAACTATTTAAGCTAAAGTAAAATGCGTCTGTTATAATGTCAACATACTTACAAAGAAACTTTCAGAGGATATTAAGCCATGTTGTTTTTTTTAGATTGTGTCCATAAAATTAAGTGAATAAATAAAGTGGCCAAGTGCGAGTCGGACTCGCTCATCGAGGGTTCTGTACAAACGCATCATAAACGGCCGGATTTTTTTCAAGTTAACTGAGAAGTTTGATTTTTCAAGCATCACTTCATCAAAGGACAGAAGACTTGCGTATATGGTTTAAATGTCAACTCGATACAACTACGCGTTCTTGAGATAAAGGGTCATGACGACCGCGCGTTCCTGAGATAGAGGGTCTTGGGTCTTGGGATAGACGGACTGACGGATAGATGGGACAAAAAAGTGATCCTATAAGGGTTCCGTTTTTTCCTTTTGAGGTACGGAACCCTAAAAATGTCTATAAACTGTTGAGTAATTAATTAATTTAGATAACCATCAAGGTTACACTAAACTATAATTGATAACATTTACGTGGTTACAAATATGTGAGTAAAACTTAATTTAACATGATGACGGCAAGTATTTCATTGTTTAGTATATAGCTAGGTTCATATAACCATAAATATATTAAAAACACAGTTAGACTAAATATGATACGAACAAAGAATTCAAATTCATTAGATACGTTGTAATAAAGTGAATTTAACCATTTAAATTGTGATTATGCGTTCAGATATAAAGATCTCAACCTGTTTAAATAATCACGGAATCATCAGGGGAAATACACACATCAAAAGTGTCTAGGGATCAAGCATTTTTATGCGGATTTCTTGAGATTGAGATGTGGCTTTGTAATAAATTTATGATTTTATAAATTTATATGGATCCTTTTTGGTGCATTTCATAATTTGAATCAGGAACTGTGAATCAAATTCGAGTAAAAGATGAAAATCAGCTGTCAATATTTTCCCTATAAAAACATACAACGCATTGAAGACATTATTAGTGCTACTGTTTCCCTACTACTGATTAAAACCAACGTTATTATGGAGCGGCGACGTCATTTAAGCAGGGAAGAAATGCTCAGAGCCGTGGGAATGATAGAAGCTGGTTCCCGGCAACGTACTGTGGCTTTAGCTCTGAATACAAGTCAGAGTGTTATCAGTCGACTTTGGACACGATACCGAAGCACTGGTACCGTGGCTGAGCGCCATGGAGGACGGTATCGCTGCACCACACGGAGACAAGACCGATACATTCAAATCTTAACTCGAAGAGCTCCAACAATAACCGCCATGATGTTAGCCGTGAGGCTTCATCACTCTTCAGGGAACTTAATTAGCGACCAAACAGTCAGAAACCGCTTGCATGAAGTGAACCTTCATTCCCGAAGACCGCTACGGGTACCACCTATAGCAATGCACAATCGTAGGATTCGATATCAATGGGCTCTTGAACTCAGAAATTGGGCAGAAGAACAATGGCGTTTCGTGTGCTTTTCTGATGAGTCTCGTTTTGGTATGAGACCGGATACAAGACGTATACGACACTGG